CGGGTGAATCAGCGTGCGTCCGTCTCTCGGCAAATCCCTCCCGTGTATTGGATTAAGTTCAATAAAGTGGTCAGTGGTTATTCTTACTAAGGTATTGTTTTGACTTCCCTTTGTCCGAGCCGTGTTATTGTTTACGTCCAATTCGAATAAGCCGGTAAAATAGCACGGATTGCGTAGGCGAAGTAAGAGGCGGTTCGCCAACTGAGTTACCAGCAGTAGCCGACGGAGCGCTGCTAAGCAAGCGCGATAGCGCCACCATCGGAGAGATCGAGAACCCAAATTCGGTCGATAATAGAACTCTGCGCAGGCGCATTCCCGGACAAGGTGAGTTAACGTGCTTACGGCACGTAGCTAACACGGCGTCGTTTGACCGAACTAATAGATACGTTTAATAGGTTCAAGGTAAAACGGCGGCCTGTTACAAAAGATATGTTATATAGATAAAAATTTTGTGCACTTATTACCTCATAAACATGACTATAGGTCAACGATAAATACTCATCGATGAATAAATTTTTATTCACAACACTGTATAATCTGGTACTTTTCACCGAAATTTCTTCACCGATTAAAAGCAAATCTTCTTTCTTTGGTTAATTATTCAAATAATTTTCAGCATCCCGTAATTTGTAATATGATTTCAACGTGTAAGTAAATTCTTTAATTTTATTCATTACATTTACCCAGTTTAATTAGAACCAGATTTGATTAAAACAGATTATAATGTCAAATCGTTAATAAGTCAAACTACCTCTCAAATAAACATGGCCCATCGACCATCACATAAAATATTAAGTAAAGTAATTTTGAAGGTCCCGCGAAGAGATGCGTCTCTATACATGTCGTTTGTGAGCGCCCTCTGGCGGTTTGTATTTTTGTATATTTTCGTCTCACATTAAAATATTGGTCTACACATATTTTCGTCTCTGTTAAAAATATAAATTTACTCATATTTTCGTTTTGGGCACGACTTTTGTTCAAAACTAACGACATAACACTTCGATTTCTTCCATTCACTTTTCCCGTCATTGCGGTAGATTCGTGCCCGTGGAAGTCAGCGCCGGCTTCCTTCACCGAAATAGGACCCTTCAATAAATCGCAGGGGGCACAGTAATGGCGCACTTGGCTGTGTCTTTGAGAATATTTCTCCTCCCCCTTTGCACATCTCAGATTAATCGCATTTGTGGAAAAACTTGCGCACACAAATAATGAAAAAATCTAAATTTTAGGTAAGTATTTTTGTATTCAAAGTCAAATGTGATAAACGTTCCAAAATATAATTTTTACTTTTCAGATACCCGATGGCATAGTCAAAAAAGCAAGATGTCATCGTCTGCGAATCCCATTTAAAGTACAACTTGAAATGTGCCTATTTTTTGACATCCGATTATTTAAATCTATGACGGTGTAGGCTGGTCATGGCCTGCACCGTGTGCTTGTTTCCCTCTCCTTCCTAGGCAAAGGCGCACGGCTGGCATCGGACGCACGTTATTTTACGTGTCTGATGCCTGCCTTTATTTTTTTTCAGTATTGCAGAGAGAGAGAGAGATAGAAGGCAGCGAGCAAGAGAAATGGGAAGGAAATATCAAGAGTAGGAGAGAGAGAGAGAGAGAGAAAATATATGTAGTTCGGTGAGGCTCGGCGCGCGGCACTTGTCGCGCTGGGCAGTGCCGCGTGCCGCCGATTAGGAGGACATTGGTGGGGAAGGCGTGAGAAGCCGACTCGCACGCACTACTAGATCGGCCGCACTGGGAGGATTGCCATCTTTTCTAGCAGCGAACCAGACAGAGAGTGTGAGAGCCGTCACGACAAAGAGTGTGAAGCCGTGACGAAAAAGAAAACTGGGCCACGTCTTGCGTTAGCCGCCTGACCTGCATCCCACCTGCCAAGCAGCCATCACTTTTGGTCAGGTTTAGTTTTCTCTCCTCTCATTTTTCTCTCTCTATTTTCCTCGGCATTGTCTTACGGTTTTGTGTGCGGCGCCAGGCTTTCACGAGCCGGCACAACGTATCTTTATTGTTACGTCGCAACACGATACATATGTATTAACGCATACGTATATTACTCAAACATGTATATTCAAATTAAGTTAAGCTGCGCGCGCAGCTAAAGCGTGTCTGTGTGTGTGAGACTGTATGAGGTGCTAGGGCCTTAAGCCTAGCGTGGTGGCAGCACCTTACGGCGCTGCGCCACTCGCGCCAAGCATGGCGGTTTTTGCCGGTGTAACCGGCAGTCGTCGACGACATCGTCCCGCGTGCGGAGCTCCCTCGCGCCTTTTACGTTCTCGGACAACGTTCTCGTGCACCCACGTGCAACATCACTTGTATTACCCATGTAATACAAGGTTCTCGTCCACTCACGTGGTCTGTTCTATCGTTTCAGTGTAATTCGGATGCGTGAAAGTGATTGTAAATTCATCGTATAGCAATCTCCTTTGTGTGCGGAGCGTGTGAGTGCGTGCATGGTAACGACCATTGTTCTCCGCGCGACGTCTCTATCCCGCGTTATCTTCATCGTTGTAATTTCTAGTTTCATTTAATAAAAGGGTTTTTTATGCCGTTACGGCTTTTTCCCTCAAACAGTGTTAAGTGATTTCCCTCTCATTTTAATAATTTAAATCTAACTACCACAATTAAATCAGCAATCAAGAACGAAGGAGAAATTCGAAATAGAGCGATTTACTTCGCCAAGGAAGTCGTTCAGAACTTTTCATGGTGCCTCCTGTGAGGTAGTTTTCTACCTCTATCTCTCCTTTTTCATTCTCGGAAAAGGGGACGTCGCGCGAGTGCAAGTGTGTGAGAGTGTGTGGGGAGGGAAAGGTGTGCATATCAAAACGCGCGAAAACGCGCGCAACGTGCACCGACAAGTGCAGCCGGCCAATTTATCTTCTCTCTCGCTCGCTCTCCCGCCGTTTATTCGCGCCTCGTGCAATTGCTTACACTCAGCGTGCGCAACAGCGTGCGCAAACACTCAGCGTGCGCCACAGCGTGCGCAGTCATCCAGCGTGCGCAACAACGTACGCAGTCGTCAGTGCCGATCAGCATTGCCATCGCTTCCGACCAGGGGGACTTACACGCAGCGGCCACCGACATCGTTTTCCATCAACTAAGATAAGTGTTCTTCTTCCTTTTCTCGCTTTCTCTGCTTCAATAAATAAACATACGCTTGCGAACAAACGGTTTCGCTTTCCACTTATAACGATTAATTCCATTTGTATTGAGTTAATTCTAGCGTTTTGATTTTTTGTTGTCTGCTTCTTGTCAAATTAAGTGAATCAATCAAACTAAAATACGATTGCGCATTGATTAGTACTCGAGTCATTGTTAGCATTTCATGTTTATTCGAATTTAGCAAGCAATTTACAATCCACTAGTGATTAATTGCCATTAGATAAATTTGTAGACAATTGTTTGACATTGTTTAATTATTCAATTAGAATTTCGTTGTCCGTTTCAATCATATGTTTTTTCTCTCTCCTTCTTTGAAACTTCAATTAACGTCAATTTCAATTTGATTCATAACGCGTTATTTTGATCCAACAAATACCCAAAATGAATAACGACGAGGTTATTCCAGCCAGCGGCAACGCAGAAAAACGCTTAATTTATATCGAACAGAAATTTAATAGGTTTACAAAAACGTTGAAATCCCTCAAAGAATACTTAGCAAAGGGATCGCCAGATGCGACGAACGCGGAGTTACGAATAAATTCCCTTTCGACCATATATCAAGGTTATTCAGCGAATCGCGAAGAACTTCTTTCGATGCAACCTGAGCATCCCCACATTGCCGCATTCGACGAACTCGAATCCGAATATTTCGAAGTAGCGAGTCGAATATCGAAAATGAACAAACCCCCAGCGATCCCTCTCGCGAATTCCACTATGCTCAACGGAAATAACACCGCTACCTTCATCGAGAGAACTGACGTAGCAAAACTCGCACCGTTGACAGTGCCCAAATTCGACGGGAACCACAAGAACTGGGTCCCTTGGAAAGCCAACTTCCAAGCGCTTATACACGATCGTCCAGGAATGGCGGGAAGCGTCAAACTATTCCAACTTCAAAATGCAGTTCAGGGTTTAGCAGCGACCGTAATAAAGGAATTCTGTCTTGACCCCAGCGACGTCAGCTACGGCTTAGCTTGGGAAGCGTTGTGCAACGCTTACGATCAACGACGTGTTCTAGTCAACGAGCACTTCGACGCTCTGCTAAAGTTAGCTCCCGTTCAAAATCCAACCGCCGAAACCACAGCCACCCTTATGTACACCGTCCGTCAGCACGTCAGCATGCTCAAAACAATGAACATTGCGATCTGCGACGAGTTTGTCCTGCGAATTCTCGAGAGATGCCTGCCCGGGTATCTCCTGTCGCGATGGATGGATAAACACTCAAATCGCGAAATCCCCAAATTGGAAGAATTGTACATCTTCGTTCAGGATTCAATATTTAAACAACGAGCGATAGGTGAACTTCCGAAACGAGATTACCAGTCCAAAAGAAAGGGGGCAGGTAGCAAAGCAGAACCCCCGGCAAAGGTCTCCAAAAACATTGCCAACACACTCGTTACTACCTCGACGACCAGCAACAACGCGTGCGTCCAATGCGGTCAATCCCACAGACTCTACAAATGCGAAAAGTTCAATAAGGCGTAATTGAACGAAAGGTGGGAACTCGTCAAAGCAAAAGGGTTATGTCGCAATTGCTTATACGTCCACTCCGCTTCCTGTACCAGCGAAAAAAGGTGCAAAAAATGTCATAAGGATCATCATACCCTTCTGCACGCAGATAAAAAATCAAGTCCATCTACCCCTCAACCCGCGAACGATTCAAAACCGTCCGGGACGTCTCAACCATGACTAAGCCAACAAACATTCGCGTCAAGCGCATACCTTCCCGATTCTCAACTTATGACTACAGCAGTTTTAAGCTTTCAGTCAAGCCGAGGAAAACGTCTCATGTCACGCTCATTACTAGATTCATGTTCTAATGCAAACTTAATGACTCAATCTCTTATCAATCGTTTACAATTACCAGTTAAACAATGCTTTGTGAATATCGGAGCAATAGACAATGCGAATATTGTCTCAGAAAAATACACTACTGCCACTTTCTATTCTACATATAATAATTCTAAACATCAATTAAACTTTTTGATTGTACCTAAAATAGCTGAGAAGGTGCCTAATGAGACTTTCCCTCGGGAGAAATTCAACATCCCCAAGAATATCAAATTAGCAGATCCCCAATTTCATATACCCAGACCGGTCGATGTCTTGCTAGCGTCAGGTCCAACCCTGTCTTCTCTTGCCATAGGGCAAATCAAGCTGAATGACGAAAGATCCCAAATCACTCTTCAAAAAACTTCTTTCGGCTGGATAGCAGCCGGAGGATCAATCTTATCAACGATTCCCAACTCCGTTTCGTGCAATGCGGTGAGGTTAGATTCACTCCTAGAAAGATTCATGGCGATGGAAGACGTGGATTATCAACCCATCAAGTCAGAAGAGGACCTAGCATGCGAAAGGTACTACGCTCAAACCACGACACGCGACACTTCGGGTCGCTATATCGTTCGTCTACCGTTTCGATCAGGCAAATTCGAACTAGGTTTGTCAAAATACCAAGCGTTACAGCGTTTTCAGGCGTTGCAGCGCAAATTTGATGCTAACTCCAGGTTCCGAGCAGAGTACGAAAAGGAATTCAACGGGTATCTGGAACTTGGCCACATGACGCTGTGCGAGGACGACAACAACGATGGTTACTACTTGCCTCACCACGCGGTGATCAAGGAGTCCAGCGAAACGACGAAATGTCGTGTCGTTTTCGACGCTTCTGCAAAATCCTCCACGGGCATTTCGTTGAACGATATGCTGTTGACTGGACCGACCATTCAGGAAACTCTGTGGAAGCAAGTTTTGCGATTCCGTTCTCATCCCTTCGTCATTACTGCCGACATCGAAAAGATGTACCGACAAATCTGGATTCATCCCGACGATAGGAAGTTCCAGAAGATCTTGTGGTACCACGAAGGCGAAGTTCGAACTTTCGTTCTCAACGTTGTAACTTTCGGGGTGAAGTGTGCCCCTTTTCTCGCAATTCGAACATTGCATCAGTTAGCCGTTGATGAAGAGAGCAGATTCCCAAGGGCGGCAATGCTACTTCATCGAGACTTCTACGTTGACGATTTCCTTTCAGGTGCAGACACGCTGGAGGACATCATGAGGATTCGCGACGAGATGATCAAACTTTTAAGTCGTGGGGGGTTCGTGATACGAAAATGGTCCTCGAACCATCCGTCGGCTTTAGACAACATCGATAAAAACATCTTCGATTTAGATTGCGGCATACAAGGGAACCCCATAAAGAAGACTCTCGGAATCATCTGGGACTCACAACGAGATGTCTTCACGTATTCCGCAAACCCTGATGCGTTAGCTTCTACCAAAAGAAAACTCCTTTCCCAGATTGCGAGGATCTTCGATCCTCTAGGCTTATTAGGTCCTTTAACCCTGTATGCCAAAACATTAATTCAGGAATGTTGGAAAGCTAACATTACCTGGGACGAATCTCTACCTCAAGACATCCACACCAAGTGGATCGCTTTAGCTGAACAACTTTCTTTAGTGCGAGAAGTCGCGTTACCAAGGTATCTGCGATATGACGTTGCGAACCCAGTATCCACCGAGATACACGGTTTTTGCGACGCGTCGATAAAGGGATACGGCGCGTGCATCTACATTCGTTCCGTTGACTCTGCGGGAAATGTCACTGTTAGGTTAGCTTGCAGTAAATCCAAGGTTGCTTCGCTTAGCCATCACACCATACCTCGTTTGGAACTCTCTGGCGCTGCCCTTCTGAAGGGACTATATGTCGAACTGGTGACCCAGCTGACTTTCAATATCGTGCGAACAATTCTTAAAACAGACTCAAAAATCATTCTCTGCTGGTTAGACAAAGCTCCTCATCTACTTAGAACCTACGAAGCGAACAGAGTCGCTGATATTCAAACGCTAGGTGAGAAGGTCGAGTGGAAACATGTTCGTTCGAAAGACAATCCGGCTGATTCACTATCCCGAGAACAGCTACCCAGGGAACTTTTAACTGACCCCCCTCTGGCATTCGGGCCCTCCATGGTTAGCTCTTCCTGAAGATCAATGGCCTTCATCGGAAGAATCCTCGTTAGGTGATCCTCCAGGAGCGACAGAGGGAATTGTTTTATTCACAGCCTCTTCTGGAAGTAACGTCTACTCTCGTTTCTCTGATTACGGATGCCTTATTAGGTCCATCGGATATCTTCTCCGTTGGAGTAGAAGGGAATCACTACTAGACGATACCCAAGATGCGAATAAATCGCAACGAGGGATTCGTTACCTCTCCCAAGCCGAAATAGTTTACGCAGAACGCCAAATCCTTCTTCTCATCCAAAGAGAATGTTTTAGTTCTGAGATAAAATTGCTCAAGTCGACTACGAAATTAATTTCCAAAGGCCCCAACGGCGCTTTCAGGAGTCGAACGAAGTTCGATGAACTCAATCCTTTCTTAGACGAGCATGAACTGGTCAGAGTAGGCGGTCGGTTGAAGAATTCAAATCTTCAATTCAATCAAAAATACCCTATTTTGCTACCCAGCAACCATCACGTGTCAGATCTCATCATTCACGAAGCTCATCATCGAAATCTTCACGGAGGGGTCCAATCCACTCTTTACAGGATACGCGAAAGGTTTTGGATTCTCAACGGTCGAAACCAGATGCGACATGTCTTGCGCCGCTGCGTACCCCGTCTTCGGCAAAGGCCAAAATTCTCACACGCCAAGATGGCAGACCTTCCAGAATCTCGAGTAAACCCTGCGTTCACTTTCGCGAAGACCGGCGTAGATTTTTTTGGTCCGATTATGATCAAAGAAAAAAAGGATCGAAATCGAAGTTTCCTTAAGGCGTATGGGTCCGTTTTCGTTTGTATGGCCACTAAGGCTGTCCACATCGAGGTAGCATCCGATCTCTCAGCTGAGGGCTTCCTCGCGTGTTTTCGTCGGTTCGTTGCCACGCACGGCAAACCGACCACCATGTACTCTGACAATGGTACTAACTTTGTGAGCGCAAATAGCGAACTGCAAAAGATTTACCAATTACACAATTCACCCGAATTTAAGGATGCGATTTAAACCTTTGCTGCAGCCGAACGGATTGAGTGGAACTTTAATCCACCTCTCTCACCGCACTTCGGCGGTTTGTGGGAGGCGGCAGTTAAAAGTTTCAAACACCATCTGAATCGTGTCGTCAAGGACCAAAAGCTCACGTACGAGCAATTGGAAACATTGTTAAAGGAAATCGCCGTCGTGTTAAATTCTCGACCATTGTACGCGATTTCTGCTGACCTAAACGATTCCCTTGCGATAACTCCAGCTCATTTTTTGATCGGGCGTTCCTTCAATTTCTTACCCAACCAAAATTATGTTTCAGTTCCGGACAATCGCCTCACTTCCTACCAGCTCGTCTCTAAAGCTAGACAAGCCTTCTGGAGTAAATGGCAGAAGGAGTACTTGCATGAACTGCAAACTCGTCAGAAGTGGTTGAATTCCGGAACCGTATTATCACCTGGATCTGTGGTTGTGTCGATGGAGGACAACCCTGCTTGCGCAAGATGGCCGCTGGGTGTCGTCGTGGAGATCCACCCTGGGAGCGATGGCATTGCTCGAGTAGCATCGGTAAAGATGGCTTCCGGAATCTACAAACGGAACATTACTCGGCTCTATGTGCTCCCTGTAGATCAGGAAAACGCGGACCCGTTGGAGTCTCAAGTCACCCTCCCGAACTCGTGATTAGCCCCAGATGTGTGCTCTTTGGTTTGCCATGAACGAGTCGAACCATGGAGTATTCTGGAAGTGCTTGAAGCCTGGCCCGCGAAAGGTAGAGTACAGAGTGCTCTACAGCCAGATGCCCAAAGAATCAATCTTTGGAGCGCGATACCTGTCCGGAGATCAGGTTCCCACAATCGCGGAGACTCCAACCTTTCGTCGACGTTAATTTAGGACAAGCGTGATCAGTGAAGTGTCAAACTTATGGCACCGGATGATCTTGGGTAGAATAAGTTGTTCATTAGATTTAAGACATTGTAAATCGTTCGTTTCGTTGTATTAGTAGTTTAAGAGAAATTGAAGCCAAATAGCTTTCAATCAATCAGGTTGTGATATCGATGCTAATCAAGATACCAGTCCCTTCAACGAAAACTGGCTCTTCATATAAAGAAACCAAAGACCGTCCTAGATTAGTAAGCAGGAATGGGTCAACTAGTCAATGTAAGCTCTTGTTAAGTCTAACACTGCTCGATCATTAAAGGCCTAATTAATCTCGCAGCCGTGGCCGGCAGTATGTTACGTCGCAACACGATACATATGTATTAACGCATACGTATATTACTCAAACATGTATTTTCAAATTAAGTTAAGCTGCGCGCGCAGCTAAAGCGTGTCTGTGTGTGTGAGATTGTATGAGGTGCTAGGGTCTTAAGCTTAGCGTGGTGGCAGCACCTTACGGCGCTGCGCCACTCGCGCCAAGCATGGCGGTTTTTGCCGGTGTAACCGGCAGTCGTCGACGACATCGTCCCGCGTGCGGAGCTCCCTCGCGCCTTTTACGTTCTCGGACAACGTTCTCGTGCACCCACGTGCAACATCACTTGTATTACCCACGTAATACAAGGTTCTCGTCCACTCACGTGGTCTGTTCTATCGTTTCAGTGTAATTCGGATGCGTGAAAGTGATTGTAAATTCATCGTATAGCAATCTCCTTTGTGTGCGGAGCGTGTGAGTGCGTGCATGGTAACGACCATTGTTCTCCGCGCGACGTCTCTATCCCGCGTTATCTTCATCGTTGTAATTTCTAGTTTCATTTAATAAAAGGGTTTTTTATGCCATTACGGCTTTTTCCCTCAAACAGTGTTAAGTGATTTCCCTCTCATTTTAATAAATTAAATCTAACTACCACAATTAAATCAGCAATCAAGAACGAAGGAGAAATTCGAACTAGAGCGATTTACTTCGCCAAGGAAGTCGTTCGGAACATTTCATTTATCATTTAGTCGTTTGAGCCGGTTAATGAGATGATATGGCGCTAACGTGCCGGTCATCTCATTTAGAGTAAGTTTTGCGTATTATTAGTGATAAGTAGTTTTGTATTCTCGTCGGCACTCAGGGAAGTGCAAGTGTAATAAAAGGTCAATTAACGAAGTTGAGTGTGTGAAATCATTGAATGTACACCTTCTCCTTTCTGCTTTGCTAGGAGCGACACACCGCCTCCCTTGCCCTCCCCTTAAATAATTAGTGATAGAGGATATTTCAGGCCAACTCTATTTCAACAATCCTACAGACCCGTTCGTCCGCTTGCAAACTCTCATGTACTTGGTGTTAGGCAAGTCGAATTTACTGTGTACGACCAATGAAGATGTGTTCAACCATAGTAATTCTTATTTCGGGTGCCTCAGTAATTTCAATGTTACAGTATTGAATATGGTTTTCAAATATATGCAAGATGAGGTTCAGTGCATGGAAATTTTCACTTCTATATCAATTGATGATGAAGGCAGAATAACTAAGGACCGATGCAACATTGACTTGTACTTAGACGATTTATTCGAAACTGGTGTCGGAATGGTCTTTTGTCGGATACAGATATGTTTCACCCAAAACCGACAGCTATTCATGTTCAATACGAACGAGGGTGAAAATATATCTATACCTATGGTAGTGTATTGTCAAAATATGAATATCATGACATATTTGACGCACACTGTTAAACGGCAATTGAAAGTTATATGTAGGCAATTATCAATAATAATCTTACAGCCGTATTCGGTCATACGTTCACTTTTTATTACGGCTAAATTGTTGAACAATTGGACTACCATCATATCAGTTGAGAATTTACAATCCACAATCGTTAATAAATTGGACAATTTCGCTGCCAATGTGAGAACACCTATGTTAAATTTGATAATTAGTTGTCTTAATTTCTATCAACCCATTGCTGCTGTACTCGTTGATGGCACAATCAACAATGGTATCCAACGGACCGGTACGTTCATTGCCTCTCTAGATTGTCATCAACAACTTGACATTATCTCCAATTTGATAACCAACCGACCTTACGTCCGTAATTTCGGCAATTACATAGATGATACACCGTTGTATGACGTACAAGATAATTACTTTACCAATATGTTGATATACTGTTCATTCGAATTATTATTAATACAAGTCTAACATTAGAGTAGCCGGAAGATAGTAACGAATATAGCATGACTACGGACCCAAGACTATAGAACGATCGGTCTCTTGAACCATTACGTTGTTTAAGGTATTATACGATACTATACTTGCATTGACTATGTCATAGTAATCATATCGTAGCATAGATATCTAAGTCGTATACCAAATTAATATAGAATTATAACATGGACAAGCATAGGAGGTTTGCCAAATTGATTGAAGCAACTAATTACCTCAACACATTATCAACAGAAAAAAGGAGGAACACTGTCATTGTCAGTAGTGAATTCTCGTTATCTGGTGCGAGACATTTCTATGTGGTTTATAAAAACGAGTTTGTTGCTACCTACTTTAATATGCAAAATCGTCATTGTTATGAGGTTAGTTTTTGAATCAATTGTATCTAACTAATAAATGACATTTTTATTGAAACAACACCATTATGTTCGTAGGTTATACAAGATAAAGCTACGTTTTATTTTGACCTAGAATGTGATGTATCGCAAGTGACCGAGGATACATGTAATTCTTTTACGAGGCATTTTATCAGTTGGTTCAAACACTACCTCCACGAAATTTTTGTATTGCAAATATCTTCCGTGCATTGTTTATCTCTTGATGCAAGTGATAAACATAAATATTCAAGACATTTAATATTCACTGCTTTTGTCGATATTGATAATGATAGATTACCATTAGTTTTCGACCTGACCAGTAATAGCTACAAATCTTTTTATAAAAGTTTGAATAATCAATTGGACTACAACGACGAGAATTATATTCAAAGGATTGTACAAGTTGACAGAAACAATTTAACTGAAATGGATAAGGTTTTGAATAAATTGCCGCTGCTAATTCCACCGTTCGGTACGTATGTCATGTGTGTAGTGTACTACTAATAATTCGATAAATAAGAGCCTCAGACGTGATCGCGAGACAAAATAATATTGAAGCTTCAGACGTATTCGCAAGATAAGATGATATTTTGGTCTCAGACGCTTTTCCCAACAATATTGAGATTGTGTTTTGAAACACATTTGAAACAAATCCAAAAGGTTATATCACAATGAATGTTATGATGGCTATACAAGTAATTTCCGAATGATTATACTATTTCAATTATTTTATCTGCTATATCCACTACTTTTTAAATAACATAAAATTTGAACATGTTTTTTTAGAAAGAGTTTACTTGGCTATGGAAATGAACAAGGGAGAAGAACGAGCAGGAGCTGACGGGCAGAAGAGTTTCGGCAATGAACTAGAGAGGTCAACTAAAAAAGCCAAACTACAGTGACTATGGCGCGCGCGCCAATTACAAGAGCAAGTTTGCTCGGAAGAACCTGAGGCGCCAATTAGCAATGGATGTCCGGTCGCCTCCTGTAGTCAACCAACAGTTTGACAATTCGTCCATTGGCAAGGCGGGGACGTGGACCAGCAATCATCAGGCCTCCCCCGATCATCCTGAGGGCCCCATTACCAGCGGGACTGCGGTTCCGGCGTCGGCGGTTCTTCACCAGCGAGCCGCGGGCCGTGGCATCTGGTGGGTCGCTTAATTATTCATAAATACTCTTTCTCTCCCGCACCAGCTCTCGCCCAGTGCAACGCTGTCGAATTAGACCCTTTTAGAGAATAAGAATAATAAGAATAAGAACCACCCGCGCCAGAAAGTGAGCGAGGTCGCTTCTTCGTTGAATCGCGCTATTCAGTCACCTACTTGGGTTGAGCGAATTCACTCGCCCTGTTTGTTCATAGAGTTAAGATTTTATTCTGTATTTGCATTAGCGTGGTTCAATGATATCGCTATTTATAATTATATTTGTTCGATGCAAACTGTGGTTGCTCGATTCCTTCGTATTTCCCCGTCATCGCGTCGGATTCACGCTCGTGAATTCGACCATCATCTGCAAATCTTACAAGCAAACATTCATGCTTATCGTGAGTGATACCAGTTGACTCATCGAATAGTGTCGAAAATTTGGTACGTGACAATGTTTCTGCTACTTCTTGTTTGCAAACTGCAGCTATAACTCTGCTGTTGATTTTGGATAAATCCCATCGAGTCAGCTTGATTTCTTGCAATACACTGGGGTGTCTAGCAATTCTTTTGATTAACGATAACAAAGTATTTATTTTTACATAAGGTATTCCTTATGATGTAAAATAAGCTAATAATAAAATTTTAATGGTTTCCATTTCATTGAAAAATTGTTCTCTTGTCAAATGATGATCATAGACGTCATCGATTATTACATTAATAGCTTCAATGAGAAATCTGAGCTGTCGACTTTGTTCATGTGTGGTTATAGTATCAATATTTGCACTCACAGTTCTGTAACAAACTATACAGCGCGCTCGAGTTCTATTGTGCCAATCCGGCCTCAACCATATCCATCTGTTATTTTCCGTCTCCCAGTGAAACTCATAATACTGAGGATGCCTTCCAGCTAGTCTACGATTCTGTAGATTACGAGCATTTGCTACATATCTTAATGCTCCATGTCTTCTGTGCATGTTATGCAACCTATGGTATCTACAACGACCGCGAGGCACTAGTTCTACATTTATATTCTCTATATTTATATCAAATTTATATTCTCTAGCGGTGGCCTATCCATCTATATAAAAATATTTATAAACTAAAACGAAATGACTGTTAAGTAATTAATGAGAAATATGCAATGAAATATTGACGTTTCTAATTCAGATATGAACTTAGTAAGATTCCCTCAACATTGATTATTAAAAAAAAATAGTGTCTGAAAAAAATACGCTAAATACGTTT